GCTTTCTATAACAATTCAGCTACAGCACGTCTACTTCTCTGAACACTGGTAGTACCTACATATTTTTCCCACTTCTCAGTAGATATTTCCCCAATTTTCACAACAACAAGAAGTCAGTGCTGGCGAGAACCTGAGCAGTCACAGTCTCTTCTTGAATAAAGAGAGGTAAAAACTGCAACTGTGACCCAACTCCCAAATCCTATTCAAGTCCATACTGACAGGTTCACATCATACCTTAAAACCCAGCCAGATGCTTGAGGAGTTGAATTACGGCTGGAGCCCTAATTCCTCATTTGCTCTAACTGTTAAAGCCCTGCAGTGCCTACCAGTGCTCCCAAACACAGGCTCAGTGAAGTGGTACAGGACTGTGAAAGAAAGGAGAGTTATAACCATGAGGTATTTAGGAAACTGCTCCAAACAAGCCTCATTCAATACCTCTTCTGCTCAAGAGCTACCTGGAGCCTATGAACAGAGGGGAAGAAAAGGAGCTCCTCTCCTGCTTTGATCCCGGTTTTACTTTGAAAAACCTACCTGACTTGAGTTACCACTTTTTTTGTGAAGACTTGGTGTAAAAGGCTCCTGTTTTCTCACTACTTGCATACAAAGACACACACAATTGGAAAGCAACCAAGATGTATGCACATCTAAAGTGAATTTCATCACAGGGTTTTTTTTTATCCCATTACAAAGAGAAGATTGACTTCCTGGAAACTGAGAAAAACACAGTATATTCTAAACAGCAGTTGTAAAGAAGTTTCACCAGAATCATACTGTTGTGCCATTCAGAACATCAGGCAACAAATTAAAAATCTTTCACAGAGTAATTGCGTTGGTAGAGAAACTGTAATGCTCTGCTCAGAAATGATAGCCTCTTGCAACTTAACACATTAACCTAGAGACAGCATAAACTATTCTTGCTATAGTTACTGGTGGCAGATGAGGGAGTGACATGGGAGCTGAGAAAGATGTTGATTACAGAATCTGAAAGACAGATATGAGGCAGAAAAACAAGAGAACAAGAAACAAACCTGAAGCATCTGTCATACATATAAAAATAACTCTTGATCAATTTGAATTAATTTAATTGCCTACTGCAGTGCATTTGTAGCATATTTCAAATGACACACTGGTTAAGTAAATTCTTGTGGGAGGTGGTCCCCTCTCTGTGACCACAGGATATTTAACTAAGAGATGTCAGTAATGTGCTTCATTAACTGTAATAGCTGCAGTACAGCGGAGGAGAGAGATTACATATGAGGTATTACATTCTACGCATTCCTCTAAAGTATGGGAATAGCCAGATGTGCCCTAAAAGTGCTATCTGCACTTGCTGTGACAAACGGGGCTTCTGAGCATGGGAGGACGAAAACATTATGAAGAAGCAACCAATAGTGGCATGACTGGGATTGTAAAAATACGGCAGATGGTTCTGTACTCTGACTTAATTTCCAGGCAAGCATGTTTGGCACAAATACTTGTTACCCAAGAACAATGAATTTTTACTTTCCACAATACCTGTGCCAGTAAACGTCTTTACTCAAATGCCTGCAGGAAGCAAATGCCCAGCAGGTACAAGCATGTTCTAATATCTGTCACTCACAAGTTTTGAAGAACACTCAAAGAACCACAAGCAATCCCAACTTGTAAAACTACTTTCTGTATTTTCTAATACATAGATTATCCCACTAACCTCTGCTCCTGAGTATTTTCATGCAGCATTCTCCAAAGTAGAAGCTGTACAGCACATCTTGGGTCGGAGCAATCCACAGTATCAGTACAGGCTGGGGGATGAAGGCATTGAGAGCAGCCCGGCCGAGAAGGACTTGGGGGTACTGATAGATGAAAAGCTGGACATGAGCCAGCAATGTGCTCTCACAGCCCAGAAAGGCAACCGTGTCCTGGGCTGCATCAAAAGCAGCGTGGCCAGCAGGGCGAGGGAGGTGATTCTGCCCCTCTGCTCTGCTCTGGTGAGACCCCACCTGCAGCACTGTGTCCAGCTCTGGGGTCCTCAGCACAGGAAGGACATGGACCTGTTGGAAAGGGTCCAGAGGAAGGCCACAAAAATGATCAGAGGGATGGAGCACCTCTCCTATGAGGAAAGGCTGAAAGAGCTGGGGTTGTTCCGCCTGGAGGAGAGAAGGCTGCGGGGAGACCTTATTGCAGCCTTTCAATACTTAAAGGGGGCTTGTAAGAAAGATGGGGATAGTCTTTTTAGCAAGGCCTGCTGTGACAGGACAAGGGGTAATGGTTTTAAACTAAAGGAGGGTAGATCTAGACTAAACACAAGGAAAAAATTTTTTACAATGAGGGCAGTGAGACAGTGGAACGGGTTGCCCAGAGAGGTGCCCCATCCTTGGAAACATTTAAGGCCAGGCTAGATGGGGCTCTGAGCAACCTGATCTAGTTGTTGATGTCCCTGCCCATTGCAGGGGGGTTGGACCAGATGACCTTTAAAGGTCCCTTCCATCCCAAAGCATTCTATGCTTCTATGATTCTTTCTATGCCTGGATCTCTCCAGACCTAGAGAGCTTCCCCAGCTCTACACATCACTTTTTTTCTCTCTCTCTTTTTAAGAAAGAGAAAAAGTTTAACAGCCTTCAGTCTGTTTTTAACTTGAGGCACAAATAATTGTGATGGAGTTTTATGTTATTTGTATTCCTGCATGCCCAGAGTGCCTGAGCCCGTTTCACCCTGCTATTCACACTGCTAAAACTTGAAATTCTCCATTTACAGAGTCCTGTGATTCTCCATTTACAAAGTCCAGCAAATCAGCTGGATGGCTACCTGCACCCTCTTACCGTACATTTTCATTCCACACCATTCAAGAGTGATGGGACCATGAGGTGGACTTCAGAAGAGTCTCTGTAAAGGGCCTAAACTGTAGTAATTTAAGAATATAGTAGATTCTTATTCTCCTGCCAAAGTGCCGGCACAGATTTAACGTGGTGGAGTGACAGAATGATTATTATTTACACATATTGCGGTACGCCAAAATTGGTGCCACATTTAGAAACAGGATGGACAGTTAAATACTAGATGCACCTTAATTCTAGCTACTACCTTCACTTCCTCAACAGATGATACTACAACATTTTAAACGCACTTGCACTGGCTGTGCATTCACCCTGCGTACCTTAGAACACAGAAAAATTCATGATCTAGTCATTCAGAGCAAGTATGCAGATATGAAATAATATGCCTCTTATCAGTAATCTCACTGGCAAATCTAATCTGAATAGCAGAACTGAATAGCTAATTTAGTTCTCATCTAAACTGAAGCAAAAGACACATGAAATGATGGGGCCAGCCATCTTGGGGTTCCCAAGTTTGTGAAGTGACTTTCATTTTAAGATGCTTCACCAGAGTTTGTATTATTCTTATTTAGTTTTTATGCATGAAATTATACTTTTCAGACTCAATAAATCTAAGATTAATTACACATTATATATTTACCCACGTATATATATGCTGTGAAGATAAAAACTGTTCTTGTGTGTTATCTGAACCTGAAAGAGTCAACAGTTCCTAGTCTGAAAGCCCTGGCAGCACTGTGCCAAGTTGGCTGTGACTCCAAAGCATCTTGCAGAAGAAGCGTGGGTTGACTGGGAAGAGACCCTGGCTTTCCCAGATGGTTGGTCTTTCATGGCAGCCCCAGGAGGAAACAGCAAGAACAACACAAAACCAATATTCACTCTCCAAAGCTCCAAGTTTCTGAATATGAATATGTATACTCTATTGTCTTGGATGGTATTGCCTCCATGTATGCATATTCATCTCCCACTGGAACTGCCAGTGGCAGTTCAGACTGCCATAAAATATTGTAGTGCCTTTAGTCATCCAGTTCCTCATATGAATGTCCTGTAAAATTATTTTCATACTGATGGAGCATTTTTTGAGGGACCAGGGGAGCTGTGGTGGGGCTTGGAGAAGTTGATTTTATCCATCTCATTACAAACTGATGCCCTGCTGTAAGTGGTAAGTTGGACTTCGTTGTTTTTGGCAGGAGTTCTCTGCAGATCCTAAAAAGCTGTTGAATACCCAAGCTGATGTCTTTCACATTTGTTCTTCTCCACACCATTTTCATTGACTAGCCAACTTTTTTCTGCTTAACTTTGATTCATTCAAAAACTGGTCCTGTGGCATCACTCTGTATGTGCTGCCACACAGTACCTCTCCTGATAGCCAAAGGTGAGAATTCAGTGGCCCCTTGTTATCCCTTAAATAAGTACACAACAATTGGAAAGAAACAACAGGAAGGCCAGATTTGCAGATGATTGTATCATAGCACAACAGCTGTCTTTGCTAGGCTTGTTCTCCAGCCTACAGGAAACAATGGAAACTTTCACATTATTTTTAGTGAGGTTTAGATCTCTTCCACAGTAACCTAAGTACAAGTCTACTACATGAGGGTATCCTGCATCAGGATTCTGATAGCTGACCTTCTCCTTTTCAATCGATCTCCTGTTCTTTAGGAGTTCAATGTTTTATGCTGAAAATTAACGTGTTTTCTAGGAAATAATCACCACTGTCTTTAGGAAAACTTGGGTAGGATTCATCTTATTTGATGCAGATGTCTTCACTGTCTGTCTGACTAGTGATGCTTCTCTTCCTCCAGAGCCAATACAATAGAGAGTGAAAAAGCCACTTTATGGTATGATCTATCTGACCTACATAGATGTATACTTCTGGATGTCAGGAAGTGTAAGAAAAGCCTTTTCCTCTCAACTGAGTATCAAGAGATCCTAGCATGAATAGGTCTGAATTAGATTATCTACCCTGTTGACATCTGTCTTTGATCAGATGATCCCACCCCAGGTGGCCTGAGTTGGACACAGTAGACAAATATTACTAGCCATTTTTACGCAGTTACTATGCTTAAGCAAAAATGAAATAGAAGACTGACTGTGGAATAAACAATCTAGTGTTTTCTCCCTTTTATTGCTGTGATATGAAGTCAACGGCTTAGCAATCTAAACAGAGATGGTTTGTCAAGCCCTTACCTTTGGGGATAGTAATCTGACAGCCCAGGTCACAGTCCTGCTGCAGCTGATAAAAAGCCACTTCCTGCAGCCGAGCACGCTCCAGCTCCGAGAGGCTTTGAACGGGAACTGACTTCAGCCGAACGCTGCGCCCTGACATGCTGTTCCAAGTGAAATCACCCTACAGGAAATCAAATGGAAAAATATGAAGCACCATATGGTATGCACAGTTTAATAAACAGAACCGTCTCTTTTACTGCTAGGAAAAACAACACAGGTCCTCTTTTCTAAAAGGCCATTTTCTTGGACATCTCTAGCCTTTCAAATATCTTTGTTTTCCTAAGAGCAGCATTCCTTAAAAGGAGTACAGACATGCAAAACAAAAAGTCAATTCTGTCTGAAACCATTTAACCAAGTATTGTTGCAAAAACATTAGGATTCCAGTAACCAAAAGCATAAAGCAGGGAAAAAAAACCAACAAACCCTTGCCTGCTTTTCCCAGTTTGCTTTCTTTGTACAGTACTCAGTTGTCACTTCATTCCTTTCCCCGCAGTCAGTCAGAGATGCAGACCTCCACAGGTACACGGACAACACGCATCTTATCTCCCTCAACTTGCTAATCCCTCTCCACCAGACTGTTCAGAGAGTGCACAGGCAGAGCACCTTCTCTTTTCTGACACATCCCATCCCCTCCTTATGACGATATTGTGTTTAGACCAAGATCAACTAAAGGACAAGCTGTTTCACATTTTTGAAAAGCCATAATAACAACGTATGTGTTAAAATTTATACAGGAAAACAACACGAGATATGCTACATCTCTGTAAAGTACCAATTACGCTTGGAAAGCAAATCAAAAGCTTTAGCTGTTCTATCTCCCACCTGCGATAACACATACAAAAAGCTATTCTCTTAGTTAGTATTTAGCTTGGGCAAGTGAAGTAATCATGAGTCAAAGAGAAGTGCAAGCACACAAACAAGCTTAAAGGCTGACAATTAACTTCAAGCAAGAATTTCAGAATTCATCAAAGCATCATCAAAGAGCGCATTTTAGCACTACAGGGAAAGAAAGAAGAATTTGCTTTTCATTCTAACCATGTTAAAAAAATACACATCAAACTTGTTAGTAGTTATAACCTGATGCAGCTGTGGATAATGGAAAAACTCTGATCTACATCAGCTGAGCTGTAAAGACAAATCCAACAACCTGCTCTTCATCACAACATGGCAGACTTACAATTAACAAACTTCACTCTCATTTTAAGTTCTCATTTTCAGTTTAAATTTCAACATCTGTACCTTCACTGCACGCTCATTTTTTCACCGTTCGCTTATAATTCATCTGTTCTGCACACACATCTGCAGTCAAAGGATGCCCATTGACTTTAAAAGACATTGTCTGAAGCTCCTTATTACAAAAATCAGTGTGTGTATATATACGTGCAGACATACAACCTGTATATACATTTGTGTATGCAAACACATACACGTACCTATACATGCATACCTATGACTGTGTGTCTGTATTCACATATGTGTATGAGACAAAAATCATTCACAAACATGCAGCACCATCCAGCAATACAGATCAAACAAATTACACATTAAACACCATTTCTTACAATGCATGAAGTATGTTTGAGTTCATCAAGGAAGGTTTTTTCATAGTATTTTTTGTAAGTCATTAGGCAACCATAATAGATGAAGCTGTTACCTCAATGTGAACAACTGCACATCTGTACACTCAATGCATGTACTATGCTTAATATTTTTATGATATTTATATATAGATGGGCCACATATGTAAACTTCTACGCTAGCCTAGTATTTGACTACTGGAATTTGTTCCTTCATTTTTTGCCTCTTCATCTCTTCTTGCTCTTCTAGTGCCTTACTGTTGATTAGCTAGACTTCGTAATCTCAAACTAAAGGTTTGCACAGTGACACAAGCCAAGCTGACTAGCTTAACTCAAGCAAAACCAAAGCAGTGTCACATAAACCTTCTTCGCAAACTGCAAGTAAACATTTACATTTTTCGAAAAGCTGTTGTCGTTTATAGATAAAAGTGATAGAGAACAGAATCCACAACCAGACAATGTATACTAAGAAACTAATTCCTTTCCAACCCTGATAATGCAAAAGAAACTTTACAAGTACAGAAATATGCAATTAAATCGTCATAAACATATGATGTACAAAATGTTCTACAGTCAAAATGGTACAGAGAGAGAAACAGGTCTTTATAGCAGAGTTTGGGGGTATTTTATCTTACCAATTTCTCCAAGATGAGCATTTTCATAAACAAAAATATCACTGATATGTCTACCATGAAACATTTCAAACCGAGATATTTAATTTTGAAACAGGAATGGGAAGCAAAAAGGATACCCATTAGAAAACGCTGAGGTAACAGAATATTTATACTTTTTAGGACATACCCTGTTTCCCATAGAGCACAAAAACCAAGGGGTGCATGGATCTTTTAGGAATTACCATAAATTAAATAAATATTTTTTAACTGTATTTTGTGTGGACACATGAATTATTGCTCTTTTTTGGATAAAGGGCAAGTAATAAATTACCAAGGGCAAATCTAACTCTGGAGGTAACTCCGCATCCTCTGCCTTATCTCTGAGTTAGTAACCGCAAGCAGTGAGCTGCACCACTGCAATGCCCAGCTCAAACATTAGCCCTGTCAAACCAGTTGAACTCGGTGAGACAGGGCTTGCTAGCTGTGGTACAGCCCTGCATTAGTATTCTGCTTTAGGGACCCCAATAAGCCTCTTTGCACAGAGCTGTGCTGCTTTATATGAGCAGAGCAGCCAACTCAACACTGGCTCAGGAATCCTACCCAGGCTAATTTCACCTTAATATGGGAGCACCCCACCTAATTTTTTTATAGGAGGTCAAGGGTTTAAAACCAAGGGAAAGAAGAAAGCACCCAACAAGATTATGAGGGCTGTTCCTTGCAACCACGTTTTTTTATTCTGGCAGTCTGCAAGCTCCCAGTATGTCCCTGGTGCTCACTGGGTTGGCTCTGTCTGGCTAAAAACAGTGGAATGCAAGCTCTGTACCTTCCAACGCCACGACAGGTCGCTGAGCAGCGATAAAGAATGTGGAATCAATCTGTCCAGTTGCTGTGCACTACAGAAGACATTCCTATTTTACACACGATGGGTTTGATAAAATCTCTTGCTAGGTCACATTAACATAGGTTTTTATTATGCTAATGGAACACATGACTAATTAACTAAAATATTTTTGGAAAATCATGTGTTAGGGCCAGTGGAATCTCCTAATCTGCTAAAGAAGTGAGAGGCTCAAGAAATGTTTCCTTGAACAAGCCTGTTTTATTTGGCAAACAAATATCACTGTCTTCTATGAGCCCAAACACAGTATTTGATAATTTAATCTATTCAAAGATTCCTATGCTTTGTGCGACACAAGGTAAATTAAAAGCCTCATCTTCCTTGTAAAGCACTCTACAATTTTATGTACAGCCTGTAAATTACTGGAAATCAACCAGGCTTGGGAGAGGTCCAGAAAAGTTAAGCTCCCTTGGAGAATGGGTGTTGGTGCAATTACATCAGTCGCATCTGCCTAAAGCTAGTCTCCACTCTGTGGGGCAACCAAAGGAGGGAAAGGGCAGGACAGACACAGAGAGTATCTTCTGTTTCTCTCTCCATATGAGGAGGAACATTTCATCAGCCTACTTCAACATCAGCCTGACATAGCTCCTTGCAGAAGCTTAAGAGGAGCAGAAGATCTTTAAGCACCAAGTCAGAGTGACTTTGTTTTTGAAGTTCATGCCCTGCATATGTGTTCAGACATACATACACACACAGCTGCTTCTCTATTATTTAGATTGTAGGATTGTAGGTATGACCTGCAAATGGCTCCTTCATCACTAAGAAGGAAAAAAATGAAACAACACAAAAACAGAGAAAAGCGCAAACAGAAATAATGCTATGGGATAAAGGGATCAGCCTGGCAGGACACAAACTGCTAACTGCAAAGGTGCTTTCATAACTGACTTTTACAAAACCTTAAACCAGACTAAAAGCCTTCTCTGGTTTCTTTTACCAACCAGCCACTTCTTTTCCCTCACAAGTCTCCAGCTTCAGCTGCATTTTCTCTCTGGCCCTCCCACTAACATCTAACATCTTTCCTCCACTCAACCGAGCCGTTCACTTATCGGGTAACTAAAATACTAGAGCAGATGACTCAGCAAAGGAGATGACTGATTAACTGCATCTTGTGCCTTTGAAGGATCTGTCCACTCTTCCCGTATTTCTTGACCACAGACATAAGCACATTTTTTAATAAGATGCAGACTGCAGTTTTACTAATACTCTTTCAAGCATTTTTTTTTAATGGGTTGGATGTTCAGTGGCTTCAAAATAAACATTAAGTGGTACATCCTGACTTAAGTAACACTATGCACCTAAATTACTCTTAAGCATGTGTAGCCTATTCTTGTGTACCTGACCTCCTTCTCCTGAGCCTCCGACACACCGTCTTTCAGATGTCTTTTAGTGAAGTCTTGTTCTTTTGTCCTTGGTTGACAACTAGTGCAAGGAATCCTGTATGTACAAATCTACAGGCAATGATCAACCTCTGTTGATCTCTGCAGTTTTAATCCTTAGCGAGTAGTGTGGATCGTGCACAGGGTGGGAAATAAGAATCCCCACACATGGCAGTTTTAGATAACACAAATTCTAATGCAAGACAGAGAAAGCAATTTTTACCTTACTGCATTATTGTTATTAATTACTTCAGTCTGTACTCATTTAGGTAAATGCCATTATCAGATTAGCTGTCTACTTTTCACTAGTCTTTTGCTCAAATCCATTTGAAACCACTAAGAACAAACCCAATTACGTCTACTTGTTTTTCTCCTACCCTAGCAACACTTAGCTATGTGCTTGTATTTAGATGGGTCTCCACTGTAAAAGAATTCAGTATTTTTGCACACAAAAAGATTATATTGCAAATAGCATAGCAAATAGAGCATTACAATGTCTTAATTCTGTTTGCTTAATTACTTCTTCAAGCTTCATGAAACCGCATACCATTGCCACTTTATAAACCTTTCACCTGCCTTGGTCATTTATTTCAACTCTTTCTAAAATTATTTCCAGACTCCTCAGGCATAAACTCCCACAATGTGACTGTTGGTAC